GGGTATTGGGTGGATCGTGAATCTGTAAACTGCAATCGATACTCAGAGATTATTACAGATGCCAAAAAGTAGGACGTAAAACCCCGATGTTATTTCATTTCGTTAAATCCCAGGTAGCTATATGAAGTAACACATTTGTGAACCGGATGTTATGCGTGTTTGGGGGGTTGGTTGGCTGAATGGTTAGCATGCGCGCGCTGTATCATAAAGTCTGTCATTGAGTCGACTGGCGTGGTTTCGAATCCCCGGTTGTACGTGACAAGGAGTAGGGTTGCCTGTCCAACCTCGTGGGTTTTCTCCGGGTCCTCCGGTTTCCTCCCACTGCTAAAGACCCCTACGCGCAAGCGAATTGTTGAAATAAAATTAAACCATATGTTAGTCCCGAAATGACCTAGTTTGTGTCGAGTGGATGTTAAACCCCATTTCTCTCTCTCTCTCTCTCTCTCTCGTTATGCGTGTTTGTATTGATATGTTCCACGATTGAATATTTAGTTTATTGTGAAGATGATACGCTGTTATATTGAATGTTTCCGAGTATACTATTGTATATTAATCAATGGTTATTAAGAACTTTTTTCTTTTCTCTCACTGTTCCTATTTATGATATACTGCAATTTTACATTACATGGTGCTTACTCGGCCTGTCACAATATTGTTCAAATTCAAAGTAGCCATATTATGCTGTATTATGGTCATCTACCAACTCGAATTCTTACATTGATAGGCTACTAAAATAACTTTTACAATGAACATTAATCCAAAAGACTGTAGGTACCAGGGCATATTCAACAATTAGTATGATTAAATGCTGATTTCATGACGACAAATTATTCCGACTTGCATCAACTTATTAGAGCTTAAACAGCACATGCAAAGTTCAACGAACTAACCGAGTTTTATACTGCACAAATTGTTACCCCTTGAGAAAAATAAAATTATCACTTCACTTATGTCTTTGATATGAAATATAAAAAAAGAAAGAAGACGTGAGCGTATTTTTATAAAGAAGCACATAATTGACATTTCCGGTGCTTGTCAGGTATGGTAGGATGATGGTGACGTGCTGTGTCACTTTTGGACGTATTAGTTCCGATGCGTCAAAGCAACTGTCCCCAAAACCGATAATTCTTATTGCGGATATGTCAATAGATAAATAACATCCTTCATATGGACAAGCGCAAATTACCTTCAAGATATACATGAATTCTTCTCAATTATTCTATCCATCGTGGTCAAATATGACAGTTCAAATTAGTAAAGGGAACCTCGTGTCTCGAATCCAATAATAAGAATTATAGGGGGGAATGTCATATATTATGTTGTTTACAATCACCATCGTGACGTCATTCTAGACATGATCAACCTGAACTGAAGTCAGGTCAGTCTATAAAAACAGAACTTCAGAGACTTCTTTCTGTATTATTATGGTGTTTATCACGAGATCCCGACACTTGATCGGTTGATACAATGTCTACTGATGTAATGTTTTCTAGTCTTCAGTATATATCACACAGGGCAAGAAAATAGTCGTTCCATATTGCGCATTCTTCATGGAGAACAAAAACATTTATCCACAAAAAAAAACAGAAAACGTAGAATTATTGTCAGTGGGTAAAGTAATTGAAATTAACTTATATTCCATCACAATGCCCCCCCCCCCCCGTAGGTATTACGTCGCTTTGTCAAAATTTTGATTCTCCATAATAATTTGTCCATTTTTTTTATTAACTCGCTATCAGTTTAGGATACATGTAGAATGTGCATTACCTATAATATATTATTTCCTTGTTGGTCAGTTGGAAATAATGGAAATAATGAAGGTGCTATTGCTAAAAACCCGATCTAGTAGGTGATTAGGAGGACCGCCTACATAAGTTAGCAATCACTTAGTAAAGCATTGAGATCAACAATTCCATCTACAGTAGCACTATGCTTTCCACGCTTTTAACTCTAATTATTTGCCAAATTGTCATTAGTAGGCTAATTAGCATTTTGGTCGTAAGGAAGAGCCGTATCGAACCTTTTCGATCACATTTATCTCCCCATTTACGTGTCAGTAGTTATTTTGTCGCATAGCATTTTCTAAAGGTAATAATTTTCCGATCTAGAATTTCGAACGCGTTTGGTGGAATTATTTTTCCCGTCACATTTTAAATCAAGTTCTCTGTTGGATTTTGTACACCTTGGTCGGATGGTTCATTTGGGGTCAGAAATTCAGAAAAGTACCACAAAATATTCTTAGCATATAATCAAACAGAAACACAATTGTAGAAAATCTAAATCAGCCATTCCCAAGGTGGGACCTGGGAATATTTGAGTGGAGCGTTGGTCGCACAGGTGGGGTGCAGGCTGATAGTGAGGTACAGGTGTCTGTATTTGTTTAAATGTCTTAATTTGTATTTGTCTGAATGCGCAGCAGAAATACTTTGTTGTAGGTATATTCTTATCATGAACTTTAAGTTTTTATTTGAATTATAGGTATGTGTAAATGTTGCGGGACACTAGATTTTTTTTTCTTATCAAAATGCGGAGGTTTCAATTTGTAGAATAAAAGGGTGAAGCTTCCATTTTGTAGACATGGGCCAAAAGGCAAGGTCGAAAACAAGGGAAGAAACCAATAAGGGTTAAAACATAATAATATATTGGAAATTATAAGAAAATTAATAATGCCTAATAGATTCTATTTCGGGCACTCCTGTCGTTTTTTTCTTTTGTTTGTTTGGTTGGTTTTTTTGGGGGGGCGGGGGGCAATTTTAAACTATGGAGAAAAAAAGCGACGTCGACTTTTTAACACGACGTCGCCCTTAATAAAGTGACGCGTCGCCCTTTGCGTCGCACGTCGCGCTCGTTTTTCAAAATTATTTATAGATTGACTTCCCTTAGGGAGACTTCATTATTTTACATCTTAAAAAAAGCACCTGCACTTTGTCAGTTTTGGGGTTTTGACTCCATTATAAATTATCTGACATTTATATCCTATTATAATGTTTTTCTCTGAAATTTTGTACTAGTAGCCTCTGCCCGGGGGGGGGGGGGTGCTCAAAATTATCTAAGTGGATATTAGGAATATTCAAAGGGAGATCCTTTGAATATTTATAGACTAGAGGCTGAGATACCAAATCACTGGTCTTGGCTTCTTCTAAACCTGTGTAAACCAGTTCATAATTCAGCAAATAGAGAGGGTAGAATTGTAATTTTACCAAGGTACAGGGTTTTAGATCAAATGAAGAGTTAAAGGGAAATACACATAAAAAATGTAATAAATAGTTATGTTGACAAGACGAAGTGTTAAAAATATAAAAAAAAATGGTATTTTAAAATTGCTTTAATCATAAAAAATTAACTAAGCGCAGTTGGGGGGGGGGGGGCATATGCTTGTGTGGGCCCTGCCGATAGCTGCTAGTTCTCATATTTCATTCAATGATTATAGATTGGGTGTCTAGGTTAACTAGTGCAGAATTGAATGTAATCTTGGATTCTTTTAACATTGACCTTAATCTTATTTTTTCAGGGTTGCAAACATATTCGTCGTAGACTATCCAAAAAACAATATATATGTATATATATTCTCGTATTAATTCTGTCTGTAAAAATGCCATGGAATGTTCATACTATAAGTAATACAACACTTGAGAACCTATAAAACAACGGATATAAATTAACGGAAACCATACCTACGTCGTTATCAGTACCGTGTCATCGTTTGTTTAACTATAAGGTATGACTATCTGCACGAGGTCACTCATTCACACCAGAGTTAACGATTTTAATGTTAGAACAGAACTTTAAAATATAGCATATAATCTGGATATTGTAGAAATGTCTTGTTATACAAAGGATATTATTGCCAATTCCTTGTGGCCAATATAAATTGCTGTATTGAAGATATAATTGAAAAGGGCGACGCGGGAAGTGGTCGAAATAGAACACGCAGTGGACCCTTACGGCTAGCCCTCGGATCCACTCACTTAATCTGATATGTACGTTTGTTTGTGTTTTCTGCGTATTGTGTCTTATCCCTAAATTTGTTTTGCGTAATTGTGTGTGGTGCAGTCCCCCTGAACTTACTAATAGTATTCTGTCAAAACCGACATTTACATTATTGTGCATGGTGTTCACCACTTACAGCTTTTAACTCAAGGATAAATATTTTCATAGAAATAACAACGTACATAAGTTAAGTGTATCCATTTAGGTCGTTAAATATTTACAGCAGTTTGGAAAGCAGACAGTGATATTAATGGCCAGAAACCAGATTAGAATTAACCTTAACAATATATAAGTGGTATCTAAGAACGCCAGACGCAGAAAAATTTGTTTATCATCTTGATATAAACGCCAGATACTATTATAAGTATGCAAGTCATAAATCATAAACACCATATCGGATTCTTTGACCATGTTGATGATTTTGTGACGATAATTATATATTTATATGCTGGCTATCCAATAACCCTTAAATAGCTCGCTATAAACCACTGCTCATCATTATTATCTGTAATAATTAGCGAGGGAGCTGTAAAAGCGGATGTGCCTTAATTACGTTAGCGGTGACCAGTGCCACATTTTGTCAACAGAAGATGATTCACAAAATGTTTCCAGATCTAGAAATCGATACTTTTAGAATGACTTACAAAAACCTTTTATAACATGCCTGACCTTGGCCATTAGTAGTAATAGACTATACATTGGGCTTTCAGCACTTTAGTTAAGATAAGTTCGCTGTTAATATACACCTAGTGATTAATTGGCTGATCAAAAGTAGTTAAACTCAATGTTCCTGGTTTAAGTTATTTTTAAACATTTTCGTGTTGTGGTAAATTTTTATCCCTTTATTTATTTATAATAGCCATATAATCAGGTTCACTTTAAAATAGCCGCCAATATCAAAGACACAATATCCTGTAAATAATATATATAAACGTTAAAAACAAAAATGTGTATTTATATAACGTTAATGATTAAGGAAAACAATGGTTATAAAAATAGGTGAGAAATACCTGGTAAATAGGATCCGCTGCCACATTGTCGTTTCGGTATTTCAGAAATTGGTCCAAGGAAAATTCATTGGCTTGTGCTGGAAACTCAAACATTTTTCTGCTCAGGTGGCCCTTTGAATGTAAGTTGGAATTGTATCTAGTTGCATTTAAACCCATCGAGTGTACGTTGGAATTACAAACTAGCTACATCTAAATCTATTTGACGCGACGAGCATGTATTTCTATGTCAATGGCCCAAATGCTAGTTTATTCCAATTTCACTCATTCAAATCAGGTACTTGCGAATGCATCAACAGCACTTAAGTTCACCACCTCGCATTCAATTAATCTCGGGCAATCGAGTAGAAAGAATTGAACGAATTCACCAGAGCAAGATGGATAAAGAACCATCAAATGTCAAAGACCTTTGTTAACAGAAAACTTTCTAACAAAAGCATTCATTGAAAACGTAAGTAAGTGTAAATTTTGAATGAAACAGATCGTGAGATTCACAATAACAACTATGGAATGGCTTTTTTTACACAAAGGTGTAATCTTGCGTATAGATTGATAATTTATTATTGTTTATCAAAAAAATCAATAACTGATTGTTATATTAAAATCAGCTTAGGTATACAATTTTCCATTCTTTGTCTTGTCTTATTTCGTTAATGCTTTCCACAAAAGATTACCGACAAAGGTAAACAAGCAACTGTAGCATCGAAATACATATCCCACACAGTGTGCCGAGTGTTGCTTTTAGTGATCGTGGAGAAGTCCAAAGTACTGTATCCAGCAATTCCCTGTGACATTCTCCTCAAACATCAAGTAAAATGCACTGTTGCCTTTTTAAACATATTTTTTAATAATTCAGTCCTTATGACGTTTGTTTTTGAGGCCGGAATAACAATCACTAATAGACTATAATTAAATATACGTGTTTAATACGAGTCAGTTTTTAGACAAGCGACTTTTTGAAAAAGAATTTCCTAAAGTCTTCGTTTTGTTTTATAGTGCGTCCCCCTGCACTCATTTAAGCGTGCTGCATTATGGCTCGCGCATAATAACGCTTACAGGCATGTAAATTAATTTCACACAATTCCGATTCTACTTACATACATTCACCTAATAGTCTTTTTACATGAGTCATTTTAACTGCAGTTCTAATTGAAGTGAACTCCAGTTGAGTTGAACTACCTTTAAAACAAATGCAAGCAGACTGACATAACACACTGTTGGTCATCCACAAGAATCCTACACACAAAATAACACAACAGACTGTTGTGCCTAGTAAATACTGCCTTCTCGTGTACTTCAGACGTGAACATGGTTTCAATTTCTTCTCAATTTCCCTAAAGGGTCTGCATATCACCTTCCTTCATCTTTAAGATTTCAGACGAATTGACAGTCGCAGTATACAGCAATGTTTCCCACTTTAATTAAATTAGTGTTATTAGCACAACTTCTGGATAGTTAACTCTTCACACACACTTGGTAGCAGAGCGGTGCTACTTATACCAGTTAACGATATTATTATGCCTTGCCTTTGAGAACAGTTCTTCTTTCGTGGCTACCTAATCGCCAATAAGATTTCTTCTTTAAAATCAGTGTGTGTTAATACCCGCCAAATGTGGGTGATTATGCAGTCATTCCAACGGGGAAAAGGAATCCGTCTGTTCTTCATGATATCTACTTTACAAGATTAGACAGGTGTTTCAGAGTAAAATAAACATCAGAATCCCAAAAGATGTATTGATAGCTCTAACCTGTCAACATAGTGTAAATCAAGTGAAATAAAAAGAGGAATAAATTTTATTTCGGGACAAAATGTTAACCTAATTTATTAAAACGACTGGATTAGATTACTGTATACATCAACAGTCAAATTGTAATAAATATGCCAAATAAAAACCATATTGGCGATACTGCCATACATACATATTCAAGAAAACATAAACTAGTGTATTTTAATAATGCAGCTGTTTCATTGACTGCGGGTAACTTTTAAATAAAAAGTTTTCATGAGTAAGGCCCCAAGGGGGGAACCTGTGATAGTGAGGATCTGCTCAGCTTGACAATAGCGATAAGAATTTCCTCTCCAAGTGCATTGTATGCATATTATTTATTCATAGGCCAGATTATACCCTGACAATTGTTGGGCCAAGAAGAGGTCACTAAGCGCCAAGAAACGCGACATACTTTACGGGCTTCTATTTGACGTCACATTCCCAAAATGGTTGTGATGACGCTATGCTCATCTTCTACCAAAATTCTTCTTCTTAACACTGCCATAGCCAAGATGTTGTTCTTAATAAATGACTGGATTTCAGGTTATAGAAATTTCTACGTGAAGAGATATTGTGGTGCGGCTTCTGGCAAATCTACTGGACACGTTGACTGAAGTGTGCGAATGTGCTTGAACAAGACCTGTTAGTTAGAGAAGTACTATGGAGTGCTCGGTTTGTAGTTGTAACAAGAGACAACGAGAGTATGATATCTTTGTTAATATTTATAATGAATATTTGACGAGCTGAAAGAAACTATATGGGGGAGGGGGATTTATGCGAAATAAATGTTCATTGTCTTAATTCGTGTAAACTACACAGGAAACCAATTTCTCCAACCACAAAAGATACATTTTCAACCGATTTAAATGAAATGGAATGGGGTTTAACGTCCTACTGTTTTGCTCCGAACTGGACTAATGAAGACGGGCACACGCATACAGTGTGCTATGAGGGAAATTTTGCCCGGACAGCGGCACTACGGCCTACTCTTATATCGAATTCAAACTGTCAAGGGATCTTTTACGTGCACGCCAATGTGTACACGGGACCTGGGTTTTTCGTCCCATACGAACGACTAGACAGCTGTCCTTGTCAGGCCCTCCGCCCTGCATCACTAACAAAGGGGAACCACGACGGAAAATCTGGATGAACTTTCTCGGCCAATGCAGGGATCGAACACCCGACCTCCAGGCCAACGAGCCAGCGTCTTACCCACTTAGCCACCGTGATCCTCTTCAGCCGATTTAGACAATCAAGCTTTTAAACTAGTTGGGTCTTGAGCTGGAGTTTGCAGTTTGTTGATAAATGTGTCGTGACATCCTATTCAAACATCAGACTATATCGGGATAACCTGCTTTCCGGTTAATCGGGTATCGCTATCAGAGCTGAATTATATACGTAAACATAATTTCCAGTAGATTATATATGGAACATTTGATCTCCCATAATGTGTTACTGACGATGATACACACCCACCTTCAAATACCATATTATTTTTTTAATAAAAACACAACAAAAATTAACAGATCGTACATTGATATAAATTGAGTTAACAGAAACGACTGGTTGTAAAGCAGTTTATTTAGCACGCCTATGATTTGTGATAAATAAGTCAGTTTCGTCAAATAAATCAGAGGCGTTGATAACATTAATAAATCAGAGGCGTTGATAACATTAATATTAGATGTGTGATAAACATATGCTAAATATTAGTATGGGCGCTTCTGTGATGTTACAATAAATAACCGGCTACGTAGTTCCCCGTAGTGGGGCTGAAGAACTTGACAAGACTCGGAAATGCACTGGCTCGCTAACCTGGCGGTTCGATTCCGGTGTCGGCCAAGACACTTCTTCGGGATTTTCCGGCGTGGTTATTTGTGTCAGTGGTTTAGAACGGAAGACGAGTAGTCCCGTGTACACCTTGACGATTGGAATTCAAATTGCTGTCCGGACCAAATTTCCATAATTTCTTCACAGTGCATGGCGTATACCTAACTGTATTAGCCCAGTTGGAGCAAAAAATTATCACGTTTAAATTGTGTTCCATTCATTTAGCCATACAAACGCGAGATCAGTAAAGGCAATCTTCACCGCGACCACAAAAGCGGACTATAATTTGTCTTGGGTGGGGAGGTGATTCTCTCCCAATTTCTTTCCTTGTTTTAGTTATCCGTAACCTTCCAGTCGTTGGCCAATATGGCCTTTCCTTGAAGTCATCATTAAATTAAATACTCAGTGTAAAAATAACATTTCCGCTTGAAGGCCCATTGAATATTGGTATGTCTGTCAAGTTAATAAATTAATAGTAATCAGTGTGGTGAGTATAAGTGAGAACTCACATTTCAATTCTTTTAGTGTTCATTATTAAAGATGCATTATATTATAGGAGATCAATATGCCTATTGCAGGTCTTTTTTCCTGTAGATATCGGACCGTAACATCCTGGATTACGACCCCTGATTGTACGGAAAATCACTTCTTTTTTTAGCCTGTTCTCTTTCCATCTCTTGCAAAATGTGGGCGTATCTTGCATGGCAACTGCTTGTTCTTTAACTATTCATGAACGACCATCTTTTCATCTAAATCTTAGTTGATCCATATACATTACATAAGGTACCTAATCAAACCGGGTACCCAATTAAACCGCGATGTCATCCCTGTGCGTTTATAGAATTTTCTGTTTGAATATTAATTAAACTCGTATACTTGCAATGAATCCTGCCGCAAATATTTTTCAGATTTAGAAAATTTATGTAATTGAGAACTTGCTAAAATATACGAGGGCTGGCTGAAAAGGATAGTTCTAAGCCTGAATAGAATAGATCAATTGGGATGAAACAGCCTTTTGCCACCAACAAGTATAATCATTAAATGAATCATATAGACATAAGAGCTACAACTGTAGTGTTATTATTGTCTTTGTACCAGACCATCTTTTGAACCTACCCATTCATATCAGCAGAAATGGACAAAACCGGCAACAGGGCAGGCATCAAGTACCTGCAATTGAAAGAACTAACCCCAACACAGATAAATGCCATGGTCGGGAATGATTCACTTCCTTTTCCACAGTAAAGAAGTGTTCGGAGGAATTTAAGCGTGGTAGAGAAAGCCTTGAGGAAGGCAATCATCGGCACCCATTCAAGAAAACATTACCCGGGTGCATGACATGGTGATTGCTGATCGACGATTGGCCACACGACATATTGCCAGTATTGCGTGCATCTATCGTAAGAGGGTTGAGCACATTATCGCCTACGGGTTAGGAATGACAAAAGCCCTTGACTGCTCTTGAAAAAGGAATTGTCGGTCGTCATTTTTTAGTAATGATGACATCATGTCAGCTGTAAATGACTTGTTTTGGGGTTTCCGAAGAAAAATTTTTCCTGACCGGCATCCAGGCCTTGCAATATCGTTGGCAAAAGCGTGTACACCCCGAAGTGAATATGTAGAAAAATGAATGGAAACCATCGACGTTTCAGCCAGCCCTCGTAGCTATTGCTTATTATGCTAAAAAAAAACGTCAATGTTGAATGGGCATTTTTATTAATTATTCATCTGTGGCCCATAAACTACCTTACCGTGAGTTGGTCACAAAATGAAATGAACCGTGGTGTAACGTCCCACTTTTATTGTCCATCCGGGCTAATGAAGATAGGCACACGCAATGCTGTGTGCCGAACTGAT